AATGGCACAACAAGGTAGAATTTAATTATATCATGATAATTAAACTTCTAAATTTCAAAGCAACTTCAAATGGTCCCAATTTAATATATACTAGTACACAAGTCCTAGTCATTATGATTATCAAGTAAAAAACTTAATTGGGCCAAGGGAACTATTAAATAGATTTTAATTAATCATTTAATTTAAAATCTTTAGATTTTCATACTTGTCCAAATACTCTCAAATTAAAGTATGTTAACAAACATGCTAAGACTTAATTTAAAAGCATACTACAAGTTCATTTCATGAAAAGTATGGCCATGTGATTTAATCGTTCACCAAAGATAAATATTAAATAAAAAGTACAATTCTTATTCAATTAATCCCAATTTAATATATGTTAACAAATATATTAAAACATGATTTTCTAGCATGCCACAATTCCATTCTAAGTTATACACATCCTTGTGAATTAAATTTCATACAAAGAAATAATTAATACTAATTTTCTAGAATTGATACAAGGCATGCAATTAAATTGTATAATCATGCTAAATACTCAATACAACACACACGAAAGCCTAGAACATCCCCTACCTCAATTTGAGATGAAAATCTCAAAAGCCACCAAATGGAAACCGCTCCGAATCCGACGAAACTTCTAGATTTTGTCGAGGACTACACTGTGCACATAACCCCCAAGGAAGCCCCATCAAACTCACAACTTGACTTCAAACCCAAACTCAAAGAATGGTCAGAAATGGGTTCTAATAAGGGTGAAAGAAGCGTGTAGTCAACACGAACACTAAACACAAAGGCTCTTCTATGTTCTAACGAAGGAATGAGGCTCAAAAGAGGAGAGAGAAAGTGGCAGCCTCCCTTGGGCTGCCATGGAAGCTTTAGGTCATGCAAGAGAGTGGGGAAAATGAAAAAATAAAATATCTCACCCCCCTTTTATAGAAATCTCAAAAAGTGCCCTGAACGGGCCCCGCCGGGTCTGAAAAAGTCAAATTTGAGTAAACGTGCTCAAATGAAAAAACTCTATGAACAAAAAAGATTCAAAATGAGAAAATATGAATAATGGAAGAAACGGCATCAAAAATCGAGTCCCGAGCAGAAAGTTATGCCTTAAACAAGTTTGGCGCTAACTGGGGCCAGAAACCCTGAAACTGGAAAACAATGATCAGAAGGAATTTCTAAGAGTACACGACTTGACAAAAAGTGAAAATGAATCCCGTACGAGGATTCAGACTCAAAATAAGGCATTTAGCAATAACTTTCATTAATTGCATAATGGCCCCTCCAAAAAGTGAAAACTGCACTAATGGCCCAGAATGAAAATATCTTCCAAAAATATTTTCTTAAAAACCCCTGAAATAAAATATCTTCAAAAGATATTTATGAAAAACACCACAAGAAAAGAAAATAATTTCAAAGAATTTTGCATCCATGCCTCTATGGACACCGGGAGCAACTAGAGTACTTTCTTGCAAAAGTAAAGATACGTATTTCGTGGAAACCACTTAAGATGGAGATACATAAAGTTAAAAACCAACTTCGAATAGAAGAAGTGTGGTTACGCCAACAAAGTGTCAAACGGGGAAAAGACAAAATAGGAAAAATGATGAAATAGGGAAAAGGACGAAAAGTGAATAGTGTCGAAAAACGAAAATGTGAAAACGACTCGGTCCTCAAAGGAAGTTGTCAATCCACAGAAAAAAGTCTCGGAAATCACTCTAGAGCACTCGAGACGACACTAAGCGAAGAGGAACTGAACTCAGAAAGGAAAGACAATGGAAAAAAAAAATATCCGTGAAAATCCGGGTCATTAGAATGATACCTAATAATTCGATTCAAAGATTATATAAGATAGACAATAAATGATTTATTGAAAGCATGTCAATAGATAAACAGCATATGCAATAATATTTGATTAACAAAGTAAAAAGGGTAGAGAAAGAGAAAGCAAACTCAGAACACCAAGATTTAGCGAGGTTCGAAAACTCCTACTCCTCGGCTCAAGATCCATCTTGAAACTTCCCAAAAATGCAAACCGGTACAAGAAGCACACCACTTCTAAATCTTCTTCTAAGAGAACAATCATCTCTTAGAATTCTACTGGGTTACCCCAACCCTTACAAAGATGTTTAAAATAATGGTAAAAGAAAACTCTCAGATTTGATGCACAGATCAAGGCTCACAAACCTATAGCAAAGACTTGGTTTTGTACAAAAGCAATAAAATATAACACGTTACTAAATGTGCTTTTGCCACTTATTTATGTTCTTATTATTATTATTATTATTATTATTATTATTATTATTATTATTATTTTACCAATTTAGCAACAAAAAATATAAAACAAAAAAATTTGCGAAGCAAACTCTTACTAAAGCGAGTGCCTCAAATCTAATCCTTTGAAATTGATTTTTTTTTAATAATGCATAGGTGATCGTGTTTTGATAAAATTTTAAAAACAAAATTATGAGAACTGAATTTACATGACACGAAAAGACACGTTTAAGTCATTTTTGACCCAAACACGACATGTTTATTCTACACGTTTAACTAAATGAGTCATTTTTTATACGAACACGATATGTTTATCTGACATATTTAATTAATGGGGTTAATCGTATTTATAGGGTCAAACATGACATGTTTAATTAGCGGGTCAATTCGCGTCGACACAATTATGACACAAACACGATTAGCCCAAACCAAATCCTCTTGTCAAATATTGCCACCCTGGTATTTATAAGGGAAGTGAGTAACAATTGATTTTGGTTGGCATTAAATTAAGTGGGTGAGATTTGAGGATGTAGTAATTTTGCTGGGTTGATGGACATTGTATTTCGGATAAAAAGGTAATGTTAAGTTAGAAGTTATGATCTTGTTGGTAATAAGGTGATGCTATGTTAAAAGTATTGTCTCCTGGTTAAGAGGGTAGTACTGTGAGAGAAAGTGAGAGAGAGTATAGTTTGATGTGTTAGTGAGATCATGGTGGGATTTAGTTTGTTGTAGACTTGTAGTGTATTGTATGTGTATATATATATGTGTGTGTGTGTGTATGGGAAGGTGGAAGGTGACGTCTGAGTGAGTTTTGTTTGTTGGTGCACTAATGGGTTATGCCATTGTGTGCGTGGATACATTTGTTACTTTCTTTCTTATTTCTTTTCTCCTTGATTTATGATTATTATTTTTAATTAAATTTTATTTTATTTTATTTTTTTCGGGTAAATAAGAGTGAGATTCAACTCTTTTTTTCTTTGTAGTTTTTTACTTGTTTACAGCTACAATGATTTGTTAGTAAAATCTATGTGAGTATTAGACTTAAGTTTTTTACTGGTAAGATCGATTCAACTTATTATAAATGCAATTTTGTCAGGGGTGGATCCAAGTGTGCCTCAGACACATGCCCCCTGACCTGGCCCCGCCCAGTACTATGTATAGTTATTTTATAATTTACTTATATATATATGTGTGTGTGTGTGTGTGAAATTTTCAATATTCCCCTAAAACTTTTAATTTCTAAAATCATTTCTTAGTTTTTTTTTTCTTTTCAAATTTCTTTGATTTCCTTCAAAAAGGTTAATTTATCGACTTCAATCAAATTCTATTTTTCTTTTTTCTTTTTAAAGTTCTCATTTTTCTTAAAATTTTCTTCTCTTTTTTCCTACTTAAAATTTTTGTTTTTGTACTTGTGTCTGATATATGTAGTATGCAATTTTTTCAATAAAAATATTACTAAACAATAGCCTTTAATTAGATTACGATTTTCACAATTTTAGAACATTTTTCTTTTGAAAAATGAAGTAGCCTTCTATTTAAAATCGTATAATCAACAACATGCGTATTTTACTTTAATTTACAATATGTATGATTTTCGTCAAACTTATTTTTAACTAATAACATATTACTAGTCACCTTCTCATATTTTTCTTTGGTTGCTTTAAAATTGAGGGAAATTCATTTTCATATTCATTTTCCATCTCTTACTATAAAAGAACTTGTTATCATTTTCATTTTCCATCTCTTACTATAAAAGAACTTGTTATCATTTTCATTTTCCATCTCAGTTCAAGAATGAGTTTATCCACCGGATGGGCTAGATATCCCAAAGGCTTAATGGGCCCAAAGGAGAGCCCAGATGAGCCGTCTAAGCCCAACTTCGATCTCCTTTCTTATGCATCTCTCTCTCCATTTATAAATTATTCCAATTTATCTTATGAGACTTTGTTAGCAAAATCTAGAAGTGGTTTAGGTCTAATCTATAAAATAATAATAATAATAATAATAATAACACATCTCTCCTTTTTTTAAAAAAAATAATAAGAATATAGAAAAATATTATTTTATTAGTTTAATTTATTTGCACCTACACAAGTATGTGAATAATTCAATTTGAAATTCATTTCAGCATCATTTCATATCTAATTACTATGGGTTTCAAAATATTTTAATCAAGCATTGGAATGGAACAAATGCCATTCCTGCATCATTTCATGTTTGCGGTAAAAAAACATTTCATTTCATTTCATTCCATTCTTCCTACCAAAACTAGTCTAATAGTACGCAACAATGTTAAACATAATTAAGAATGCAAGCAAACTAAGTTATTAATTAACAACTACTTAAAAGTTGGATTTGAGACCGTTAATTTAAACAAAAATTTGAAGGGTCATTTAATAAAAAAAACCTTTAAGCTTGGGTGTGTTAAGTTCATGAAGAATCACAACTACCTAGAAGCCCACACAATACTTTTAATTCTTTGGTTAAAAAAAAATTATATACTTTAAATTCTTAATTTAAATTTTAGGCCATTGGCACAATTTTATCCCAAGTTCACACGTGTTCCATTCGCCCGGTCATTTACTTAAAATTTTGACGCATTAATTCTGTCCCATGTGCCATACAAAGTTGATCTCAGCCGTTGGATATGAAAACCCTAACTTCAATCTAATCCTCCTATACTTCTTCCATTTAAGGCGGAGGCTCAGCTTGGTGCAATGGCGCCAAAATTCATTGCTAGCCCTTAAGAGGATAGGAAGAGAGAGAGAGAGAGAGGAGTGGGAAGTTGGTTCATATTGTGGTCCAGTGCTGCCCCTGGCCCTGGCCCAAGGCGACCAAGGTGGTCGCCTTTGGCCTCAAATTTTAGAGAGCCTCAAATTTTGTGGCCCATAGGGGATGGAAAAAAAATAAAAATTAAAATTAAGTTAGGGCAAGTTTCAGACGGCACAACCTGCTTCGAAACTCCGCAGGGCACAGCCTCCGCTATCGCCTCAGGTGACAAGGTATGTTCATCCTCTCTCTCTCTCTTCTCTTCTCTCTCCTTTTGCATGGTTCGATCTTTTATATATGTTTCTTTCTTTCGTTCATCTCATCATTTGATTTGTTCTAACTTTGGTTCGTTTGATTCTGGCCTTCCAATAGTGAAAAGTAGCTAGGGTTTTGCGTGTGTTACTGTGTGTGTGATGGCTATCAAAAGCTGAATGAATATATTATGGTTCTCTTAGTATTTAATAAATGTGTGCCTTTCTACATGTGTCTTTCATGGTGATCGAGTTCATAATCTATGGCAGGTACTTTTTTTTTTTTTTCCTCTCCCGAAGTCCACTCCAATCTCACAACAGCAGCAGCCATACCCCTTTTCCCCATAATTTTTTGCATTTTCACATTCAATCCCACGAAAATTAAGGATCCCTTCTAGTGGGTTGAGGTAATAATTAACTTTTTTGATCTCTAAATTATGCTCATAATTAAAAGTGCCAAACTAAGGGCATTTTTATTTTTATTTTATTTTTATATGAAGATACATACCACCATTATTGATGTTATTTGAAGTTGGCTCAGCTAGAATTTCAGTTAATAATACTGTCAAAGCACTTCCCATCAAAATAGACAAACACATGGAAATCAAGAGCAGGCTTTAACAAAACAAAAGTTAATGGTTTTTTCTATTAATTTGCACAGGTCTTCTGTAGCAATGATCCATCAATGACGGTGGGTTATTGGCTCCCAAAAAAACACATAACAAACTGTAGTGTAGTTAATATATGTGGCCTCCACTATATATGATAGTGGAGGCCACATATAACCTAAAAGTCCCACTACTTCTTCAGTACTACAAGTTCAGCCTCCTATATATATATATATATAGTCACCTCATCTCCACATATTTTTGTCATCTGTAATCATCAAATTTTAGTAGCTATATAAACAATGAATGTAAAAGAAGCTGCAGTTTTCTGTTCTCTAGTAAACTGCTCTCTTCATTTTTTATTTTGTGCCTGTGAAAATTTCGCACTCTTTAATTGATAAATTTATTGTTATTAGTTAGCTGTTTTATGCATATTGCACGCGCACAATTATATATTGGTGGTGATAAAAATTTATAATTATTAGTTAGTTGTCTTAAGCACACAACACATGCGCACAATTATTTAGTGGTGATGGATTTATACTTATTAGTTAGTTGTCTTATGCACACTGTACAGGTGCACAATTATTTGTTGGTGGAGATAAATTTATAGTTATTGGTTAGTTGTCTTTTGCACAATGCACAGGGGCACAATTGTATTAGCTATAGAATTTGAAAACATCGTGTTAAAATTTTGCACTCTTATAATTCTTTTTTGCGCATGTGAAACTCAAGGCCTCACATTTGAAAGTTCACCTAGGGCCTCTCAAAATAATTGGAATCTTAGGGCCGGCCCTGTTGTGGTCTCGCTCGCTCAGGAGGTGGAGGAAAGATAGAGATCTTCACAGTTCGGAAGCCGAAACTGTAAGAAATCTTAGCCTTCATTTCTGCGTTTGTATTGTTTTTGTTGCTGATCTTAATATGCAATGTGGTTTCGACCCGTATCGATGTGAATTGATCTATCTGGTGTTTAGGTTAGATTTGGTGTTTCTATGCTTTTTGTTGTTTGAATTTTGGGATTTCAGTTTCTTGTTTTGTCATGTGTGGTTGAAATTTGGGGCTCTTTCAACTCCATCTTTATACAACATTTGGTTTTTCTAATTTTGTTAATTTATTCAGTGTGTGGCCTTAAAAATGAGGGCTTTGTCCCATTTTCTGAACGATTTGATATATAGGTTTATGGCTTTGGCTTCTTTTCTTATATATTTGTGATTCTGCAGCTTCTCTTACAGCTTCTCTTGATTTTTGGTGTTTTGAATGAGCTTTCTTGTTCTCATTTTGATTGTTCCTTATATCATATGCAATTATTGTTAGGTGCTTGTGGATCTTGCTTCTTTTTTTAGTTTTAATATCATCAGTTATATATTAGTAAGTCATTGAAACATTTTATTTTTAGTATTTATTTATTTATTTAAAGTCAAACTTTAACGTCTATCTGAAATTTAAGTTTGCTAATCTGAAATTTAGGGTGAAGCAGTAAGGAAGGAACGAAGGGCACGGAAAAGGAAAACCCTAACCTCAATCCTCGTGTAAGGTGAAGAAAGAAGGAAGAGAGCGCAGGGGCAAGGAGGAGAAGAGAATATCTCTTCACTGTCTAACTATAATGGTTAGGGTGGTGGCGGTTCTGAGCCTTTAAGAGGCATGTCTCCTTAATCATCAGGTAGCTAACTCCTATTCTTCTTCTTTTTAGTAGATTTCTGATTGAAATCTATAAGTCTTTGCCGATATGTAATACTTCCTTTAATCATTTTGAACTTGATTCAAGTTTATTGATTTCATATTCTTATAGTTCCTGTTATTATTATTGTTATTCTCTTTTTATGAAAGAAAAACTTCTGATTGTTATTAAAGTCCAGTTTCCATCTCTCCACAAAGTTTATGAGGTGTTTGAATTCTATCCCTTTAATATAGGTTTACTCCAGGGAAAAGAGCTCACTGAAACGAGTGGAATCGGAAAATAGTAAGTTTGTTGTTTATGACTCATGATGTATTAGAAAAATATCATATTACTTTGGTTCAAGATTTTATTTTTCTTTTATTACTTCTTAGGTTTTCTATCTTAATTAAAGTAAAAAAAATTACGCTCATATTATGAGATGGTCTTTAATACTTATGACATATTATGATTTATTTTTAATAGTGATAAAATGGATTTTTTATTTTTTATTTATTTATTTTTTTTTATGTTACTAGAATACGGTCCCTTAGAGCACCCCATAGAGTGCAGTTTTGAACTTTTTTTTTCTTTTTACCAATTCAATTTTCTCAAGACACAGCATTTATGGAGAGAGAAAATAAACTTAAAAGACAGATTTATTTCATATTTAAGTGATCGGTTATATGCTGAAGTGATCGGACACATCGTATACAGTTTGTCATTTCAATAAAGCTATTTGATCGGTTATATTGAGCATCTGTTCGATCAGTTCAAGTGACAAAATATTATAGTTTGTATGATGAATGAAATGCATTTTGAGCTTTAAACCAAAGTGCTATAATCTATTTGCCTTACATTTAATCTACTCTCACCATTTCTAAGCTACCCCTATGGATGGACGAGAGGCTTTCCATTTCTCATCCCTTCTTTGATGAGTACATGCCTTTGTTCTTTATTTGTGCTTGTGCTCCTTCTTAATTGCATCTCAAATGGAGTTATGTTAAAAGTACTTATTATATTTGTTTGTTATCATCAAAACAGTAAGAGGTGGTTTAAGGCCATTTGTGCCATCAATTATCTGTTCCCTCTCTATTGTACGGTGAATATAATGTAACTCTCTATTGCTAAAGATATCTTGAATAACATTACATCACCAACTAAAGAAAAGGGTTACATTACTTCTCATCCATACTCTAGAGTACTAATGCCCAGCTGCAAGGGTCAAATTGCAGTCATTTATGGCTTTCATTCCCGAAAACAGATTCCATACTAAATTTTGTTTCGGTGCTAGTTCTGAAAAATAAGACACAAGTACATAATGGAAGCATATTGTTCACATCTTGAAATGGTGTCAAAGATTTAAATTAGTTTGATTATATTTTATCGTGTTTAGCAATAGCTTCCCTCTTCAAGGGATTTTTATTAACATTTCTATTTTTGTACCTGAGACTTTAAAATAATCAAGGAAGATTTTGGCTTGATGTAATTAAAATATTTTATATATTTGTTGTTATTTGTTGCTATATTTTTGCCTTTAATGATGTTTTTATATTATGCCTCCTTAGGAATCGTTCATCACGCCGTGTTTGGTCATTACATCAGAACATGGATGTTTCCAAACTTCAACACAATTATAAGTTCAACATCTTTTTGTGATTTTCTTTCTCTAGCCCTGGCATAATTCCCAATTTGTGTTTGATCATTAAATGGCAGACTTCGTCAAGATTTTACAAACGGTTCTGTGAACAAGGGTTGAACAAAAGTTTAAGAAAAGAAGGTTGTTGCATTATGGTAATGTTGATTTGGCTAAGCCTTCCCAATTCAAATACATTACTAATACATTACTGTTATTGACTTTATGTGGATGCGCAGTAGAGTCCCTCAAGGGAAAAGAGGTACGGTGTATTCGAATATGCTTAAGGAATGTATTCGCGTTTTGGACAAATCTATTGGGTCAACGCTGAAACATCTTGTGGTAGTTTTAATTTGGATAGCTCCACCCAATGGATGGTACAAGCTGAATATTAAAGTCTTTGTAAACAAAGAGACTGATGGTACCATAAAAGGAAGTGCTGGAGGAGTCCTTCGAAATCATTTAGGACTTGTTACAACAGTGCATTTGATTTCTATTCCAAATCTGGCTTCTAGAAATGAAGTATTATTAGTTGGCATTTGTCCTATTTTGATGGAAGTGTTGCAACATGGCACGTACCTGGAGAATATAATATTGGAGGGTTCTGATAAGAATGTTTTTGAAGTGCTAAGGCGTAACAAGCATGTACCACAAGAGTATTCCCAACTTTATAGGTTAGATTTCAATTATTTATGCTTTAAAATTATTTATACTTTAAATTTAGATTTAAGTTTTCTCTTTTGTGTAAAAATTATTGTTATGCAGGGATATTTTTGATTTGCTAGCCCTATTCAACAAGTATATGGTAGAGTTTGTACATCCGACAGGCAATGAAGTTGCCAATCGATTGGCATATTCAGTTATACAACCGAAAGTTGATTTAGAATATGATAAACGGTATGATCAACGACTCAAAGATGATGATATTCAGAAGAAAATACGATTTCATGTGCCTGGTTACTGCCTAGAAAGATTGCAAGTCGTCGATGACCCTGAGAGTCTCGCAACCATGTATGAAAATCGCTACTTGGAGATGACCATTGGGAGTTTATTGATATGATTTAATTGTTTGTATAAAATCTCTAGAGCACGATTCTTCTATTTTCTTCCAACGCTCTGCGAGTGCAATTCCATAGTGCATCAAATTTGTGCACCATTCTCTACAAAAAAACGGTATTTACACCTTTTGTATATTTTTTGACAAAAATGACTTACAGCAAAGGCCTAAATACTCGTATAGATCGTAATTGTCGTATTATCTGCTTGTTGGTAATAATAATCTTTATCTTTTCTAACTTATGCCTTCTAGATTGATTAAACTTGTATGGATTGCGAATTAAAGAGTGGTATTTACCACATACAAATTATAAGACGTTTTAATTGCTTAGGAATTGGCGGACAAAAACGCAAAACCAGTCTAATGTGACCAAAGATAAGTTGGACCGTTGAAAGTGCATTTTGATGATTGTTGCAATATTTAACATGATTATTGTGCTAGTGTTTTATACACAGTTAGAGTTCAAGAATCTGTGCAAAACGAAAGTGTATGTAGCGCAAACATTCAATTTTCAATTTGGGTAAATTGCACTCACACCTCCTGTTATTAAAGTTTGGTTATAAAAGTACTTTATTACCCTTTGACTTATGAATTAACTTATTTGAATGATGTATTTACGATTTTAACCTTCTCAAAGCATTTTAATGGACAAAATTAAGCTTCACATGTGTTATTTTGACAATTATGATCGTTGACATAGGGGAGACACTATATCTACGCCCTTTTGATTATTCAGAACTTTGTGATCTTTATTTTCCAATAAACTCTAATAAATCCTAAACTACCCATAAAATTGACCAATAATTAAAAATAATAATAATCATAAAGACTTTTGGCCACATGATTGTAGATAGTTCATTTTATTTTATTTTTATCTTGGCATGAAACTCATACACCTAAACATTAGAACAAACTTATAATATTATTATAATTAATATATATTATATTGGGCTACAAGTATTACTACCTATTCACAAAAATATTCATTACCTATTTTTTTTATCATTACTGGGTTTGTTATTGATTTGATTTTTGCTATTAAACATATGTGAATTGAGAGTTGTGCAAAGTGTCCCGAAGTGTCGGCTAAGTATCCAAAATAATAAAATTTCACTTTTATTTATGGACAAGTATATGAAATTTCAAAAACGTGTCCGAGAAGTGTTAGTGTTTGACATGAACATGATACTCCATCGCGTTCATGCTTTCTAGATTCAGAGTAATGAAACTTGCTTGTGAAGCAATTTTTTTGAATTCGTGAAGCCTTCATAGGGAATTTGCGATGAATGTGGAGATCAATTAATCTCCAAATTCCCACACATGTTTAAACTTGTTTGTATATAGAGGTTATTGTTCTTTGATTAGAGGAGTATAGAGTTTGGCTTTTGTTGGATGTTTTTGAAACTTTGGATATAGTATTGTGGTTACTGAGTGTTTTTATATTTTGGTTATCTACTTTTTCACCGTATGAGCCAACATTACGAGGATGTGAGAGATTATTAGATATTTGGATAATGTGGAGCCATTTATAGACTATATAAATTATAGCAAGATATGATCTTACGGGATCTAAAACCTTGGATCATTCAGGGTTAATTATAGTGATATATAGGGGTAGAAGTTAGGCAGACCCAGCCCAGTTCGGTTCCAATTCAACTTTAATTTGAAGTCGGGTTGAGTCGGGCTGGCCCTATGACAATATTCCAATCCCGAATATTTCGGGTCGGACGGGCTAATCTGTTCAACCTACGTTTTCCCTCTTTTTTCTTCTTCTTTTTTTTTTTTTTAAAAAAAAAAAAAAAAAAACAAATATGCAAATAACATTTGTCCTTTTTCCTTGTTTGAAATCATCAATTTTATCTTAGAAATTTTTGTGCGCTTTCAATTTTAATACAACAAAAATAAAACTTACCTTATTTACTTTTGAATATAAAAATAAAAAAACCTTTTCTTTTTATTTGTTATTAAACAAAGTTTTATTTTTAAATTTTTCCAAAAGAAACCCTAAAACAAACTATACAAGGCAAACTCCAAAATCCTAAAACAATTTTTTTGTTTTTTTTACAAGGCAAACTCCAAAATGACATTAACCCACTGAGCTATCGGGGCATCTACAAACTTATATAAATATACATATCTATAATTAATACTCTAAAAGTGTAAGCCTCTTCTCTCATTTCTTAATATTTTTTATATTTTTTTTAAATATAAAAAATTTAGTAAAGTTTCATTAAATCACATTCATACCAAAGATCTAATAACATCTCATCAAATCACTTTAGAATACATACCTCATCAAAACACATAATGATTCATACGTATTTGAAAACATCCCTTTCCTTTGTAAAAAATTCCAAGCCTAATCCACAATATATTCCCAAAAAAAACACAAAAAAAAAAAAAAAAAAACAAGAAGAGAATGTACCATTACAGCCAAATACACGAAGCAAAAAAGAAAAATAAAATATTCCAAAAAAAAGGTACCATATATGTATGTATATATATATATATATATATATATATATATATACACACACACACACACACACAATTCTAAAAGTGTAAAGATATATTCCAAAAAAATAAAAAAATAAAATAAAAAATTAAAAAAAAGGAAAAAAGAACGCACCATTAGAGCCAAATACACGAAACAAAATATATATATATATATATATATATATATATATATATATATATTAAAAAAACGTACCTTATATATATAGAGATATATATACACACTATTCCAAAAGTGTAAGGAAAATTCTCTATTTCTAATAATTTTTCATATTTTTTAAAATAAAAATATTTTTCACTAAATAGTTTATCTTAAATGTTTTTTTACTAACAATATTTTCATATAAAATTGTATATTTAATTAGTTTAAAAACAACACATTCCTTTTCAAAAATTCTAAAGCCAAATCCACAATATATTATTAAAAGAAACCTGAAACAAACTTACATAAATATTTTTTACAAAATAAAAAGGGTTAGAAATTAAATTAGTAAATACAGAGAGCCAAAGCCTGAAACTTCAAAATTTCCCAGAGGCACTAACCCACTGGGTTATCGAGACATCTACAAATTTATACAAATATACATATCTATCATATTCTAAAAGTGTAAGCCTCTTCTCTCATTTCTTAATATTTTTTATTTTTTTAAAATATAAAAAATCTAATAAAGTCTCTTTAAATCACATTCATACCAAAAATCTAATAACATCTCATTAAATCACTTTAGAATACATACGTATATATATATACCATCCAAAAAACAAGGGTACCAATATGTGTGTGTGTGTGTGTATATATATATATACTATTCTACAAGTGTAACTGCGTAAGGATATATTCCAAAAAAAAAAAAAAAAAAAAGAGCGCACCATTAGAGCCAAATACACTAAGCAATATATATATATATATATATATATATATATATATATATATATATTAAAAAAAAAACGTACCATATATATATATATACACACACACTATTCCAAAAGTGTAAGAAAAATTCTCTATTTCTAATAATTTTTTATATTTTTTAAAATAAAAATATTTTTCACTAAATAGTTTACCTTAAATGTATTTTTACTAACAATATTTTCATATAAAAGGGTATATTTAACTACTTTAAAAACAACCTATTCCTTTGCAAAAATTCTAAAGCCTAATCCACAATATATTATTTTAAAAAAAAAGGGTTTTTAAGAAAGATCATTAATTGGTTTTAATTTTTTTTTTTTTTAATATTCTCAGCAACCTCCTTGAGTTGCCCATATTGTCATATTTCATTCAAGAAGTTGAATGGTCAACTTCTAACCATTACGTTTTTTCACTTTAGACATTTAAATATTATTGGTCAGATTTGGATGAAGAATTGAAGATTAGTGGTGCGCAAAAGTGTGCTATCCATCTCCTAACTTTTTGAATATTTTTTTATCATTAAAATTTTCTTGAATTTTTTTCTCTCCTGCCCAAAGTATCATCTTGTGAGAAAATTATTTTTTCAGACTCATGCTATTGGGAAGAAAGTGACACACTTCTTTTTATTATTATTATTATTATTATCAGGAAATTGAATTAATTGGCTTTACTGCCTCTTCAATTAAAAATGAAGAGCAATTAGGGGAAAAATATGAAAATAATGTTCCTAAGCACGAAATAGGAGATGTATGCCTCTTTGTGTGACCAAGAAGTGGTACGTCTGATTTAAGGGTTTTGTTTTTTAAATTAATTTCTATTGATTATGGTCGAAATATGTTATATTGGCAAATATATTGTGCTAGACGTTAAGCAAAGGTACAAATTTCCGTGAAATTGGATAGCAACTTCTCAAGGTTGGTTAACAAATTTGTGATGACCATGTCATCTTTGTCCTTTTTTTCCAACATTCATTTTTTAATTAATTAATTAATTAATTATTTGTCCATTTCTTTTCTTTTTGCCTTAGGGTTTTGTGTTCGGAAGTATTTTCTGACATCGCATGCATTCACTTTAATTTAATTATTGTTAATGCCTAAATTAATTGTGTAGAAAAGCATGCTTGTTCATTTCTAGGGGTACGAATGCATAGTTTCTTAGGAAACATTTTTATTTTTCGCGGTTCTTTGTGTAATTAACTTTTTGAGATATTTGGTCTTAGAGACCTTTTTGCAATTATTCTTGTGAGATATCTAGAAGAGGGACCATTTTGTAATTTTTTAAAAAGTGTGACAAGTGTCACCTTTTCCATGGTCCACTTGTTGACTTTTTGTTGGAACACTTGGAAGCTTAGGATGATGACATGGGTAGGGTGGAGATTCAACCTTGTGAGGAGGCCTAGGATCATGACAAGTGGAGGGGTGTGATGTGTGTGTGTGTGTGAGAGAGAGAGGTAGTGTTAGTATAGTATTTGTGCCTAACAATTCATTTTAGTTAGTGGAATTTCTAGAAAATAACTTTGTTTTCCTCACTCTCACCTAAGCCATCACTGGAGACTTGAAATGTAATACCCCTAATTTTAAAAGGATAGTCTCGGCATTTTAATTTTAATTTTATTGTTTGTTTATTTGGTTAATTGCTAATTTCTGGTTGTTTAATTATTTATTTGTGCTTATTAATTGATATTTGACTTAAATTGATATATAATGGGTTTTTGTGCATTGTTTGGTTTGTTTAGATTATTAATTGTTGTGTGCTATTTTCGTAAATTATTAATTGTATTATTCTATTTGTAATTCATTGTTTTAAGATTA